TGGTATATAATGCAAACTGTGCTTTTTTGAAAGAGAGCATCCAGACTGCCTGGGTGCTCTCTCTTAAAAAAGCGTTTTGCTTTTTTGAAAGTACTGGTTGTAGTCTAGACGCTCTTTTTCGAAAGTATGTTTCGAAAAAGCCTCTTTCAAAAGAGGCTTGCAGTCTAAACGTAGCCATAGTCTCAAATTCATGAATTTACTATTGCATGGTGTGTTTTTATTAATTACTATCTGTAGGATAGCATTAGACACATTTTGGATTAAAAGAACTTTAGCTTCAAAATAGACCACAATCTTGAATTTGCATAGCAATTCTGAAAGAATACATTTTCCATAACTTTTGATGAAGATTTTTTTTTAAGTTTCTTTTAATCAGCAAAAATCTTACTTGGGCATTTAAAAAAATTATCAAATGTGATTTTCCATGTGAAGACAAACTTTTAAATGACTTCAGAAATGAGCATAATTTCTCCAAGAGGAAGTTACCCTATATTTGAGGTCTGAAGCTTCTGAAATTGCTGTGATGGTGTCTTTAACCTCAGAAAGAAATACAACATGCAAGGATTGCACTGGGAGCTCACAATAAGCTACCCAATTTGAGCTACACAAATTGTGTAGCTTATTTTGAGTTTATTTTGAAATAGAGCACTATTCTGAAATGTCCCCGTCTCCTCATAGAATGAAGTTTACAAGGACGTGGGAATAGCGAGCACGTTATATTTCAAAATAATGGACTTGCTCAAAAGATGTGGAATAGCTATTTTGGGATACCAGAAGTATCCCGAAATAGCTCCACAGTGTAGACGTAGCCTAGGAGTCAGGAATCCAGATTTAGGAATAGCTCTCTAAGGGTGGGTCTACACAGCAGGGCTTAATTTGAAATAAACTATGCAAATTGAGCTATGTCAATTGCATAGCTTTATTTTAAAATAGCTTATTTAGAAATAGGGAGCACCTACACAGCACTTATTTCAAAATAGAATCATAGAATCATAGAATACTAGGACTGAAAGGGACCTCGAGAAGTCATTGAGTCCAGTCCCCTGTCCCCATGGTAGGACCAAATACTGTCTAGACCATCCCTGATAGACATTTATCTAACCTACTCTTAAATAGCTCCAGAGATGGGGATTCCACAACCTCTCTGGGCAATTTATTCCAGTGTTTAACTACCCTGACAGTTAGGAACTTTTTCCTAATGTCCAACCTAAATCTCCCTTGCTGCCGTTTAAATAGAACACTCTTCCTCCGTCTTCCTTTACTCCCTGTACAATGAGGGTTATAGGAGTCAGAAGTCCTCCAGCTTGACAGTATTTCGGCACTATTTTGAAATAACTGCCTGCTGTGTAGACACAGACTAAGTAATTTCGGAGTAGTGCTAGTTATTTTGAAATAGTGTTTCAGTGTAGACGTACCATTACAGTAATTTATCAGGAAAAAAGTTGGTCTTATTTACAGGTTGAAAAGATAAATATTATCTAAGAACTATATATTTGCTTCTTATAAACATATACCTTTCCTATTCCAAACTACCATAGGTATCATGCAGGCTCTTTATCCTAACTGGCACTGATTTTGTTTTCTTTCTTTGTTGTAACTACTAACCTGCCCTGATACACAGATATTACACATCTGAGGCTTTTACATACATTAATAGCCCTATTGAGGTTAATGGCTACTCACATGTAAATGGAGGATTTGGTCACAGATGATTTTAAGAGTGGCTGAGGGAATATGAATTTCTCTTTGGAGATAATAATGATATCACCATTCTTCCCTTACCAACAAATTGGATTTCAGAGTCTGTCTTCTAAAGAAAAAGGTGCTATTTTTCTAAGGAGAATGGGTAACTCCTTTTACTCCTGATTTACTCCAGTCTCACAAGATTCAGACTCAAAGGCTTATCAAAAGCCTCATGTAATCCATTGTTTCTATAAGTAGCAATCTAACATTTAGTCAGTTTAACAAAAAATGACAGTTTTAGACACCATGGACAATCATAAAAGTGTTTCTGTATCCTCGCCACAAGCTTCTCCCAATGCTTGGGAGTGGGATGCACCTGAAAGGGACTTAAAAAATTTCCTGTGGTTGCAGCATCCGTCTCTCTCTTTAGCACCAAATGTTACATCTAAATTACTAAAATGATTTCAAAACTTGATATTTGTGTTTCTAATTTATGTTTCTGTTAGTAGCTACCAGCACTTTTTTTTGAAGCATTTAAAACAAGGGAAGCATTTTGGAGCTATTGATCAAGGGCTCTTACAATTTGATGACGTTATGATTCAGCAGATAAGGTGAGGAGCTTTCTGCCTTTAGACCACTGTTTTAAATCTGACCTAGTTTGGTACTGTCTTTAAAAATCAAATCAAATAGCTGGTGTTATCAATTCTATTTCTAGTAGACACACAACTCAGAAAAACCGTCACCACACCTGGAACTGACTGCTTTGCTGGAACTCTTAGCAGAATGGTTTAATGACACCGTTCTCATTAAAAAAGAACCCTCTGTCCAGACAATGTAAGAGGTATGTTGACAGAAAAGATATGAGGTAATTTATATTGCTACTGTCAGTGCTCTACCTGTTCTTTGAATAGGGAGAAGATTTAAGGTTCTAGGATTGTGAATTTGGCACCTTTCATGAGCAACAAATTAACAAAGGGGAAGATAAGGTGAAGAGTCCTAAAATTAACCATCACAGTTGAATTTTGTATTTATTTATTTTAAAGAACATTTTTAGCTGTTCACCCCTTAATTCAGAGAATTACATTTTCTTTGGGCATACTTTAAAATTTTATCTTCTTACAAAAGAAAGGAATTGGAAAAAATGTGGATATTAGCATGGATCTTCAAACAGAATGCATGTTCATTTGAGTCTGGATAACAGTTGTTAGAAACAGCATCATAGTAGGAGCCCTGTTTCCTAATGATTATCTCCAACATTTATAAAGTTAAATATCTGGCCAAAAAGAAAATATGTTTTTCTCCTTCATTTCTCTTCTGTTTAGAAACCTTCTATTGGTGGTTATAACTCGAAATGGTTAATGGTACTGCCCCTCCTTTGTAAATCATTTTGAAATCTACTGATACAAAGTGCTATGTATGAGCTAGGTATTATTAATTATTATTATTATTATTTTATTATTATTAACTATTTTTAAAATGAGAGAATTCAGCTAGAAATCACTCGTCAGATTGTGCCCCTGCACAAAGACAGCTACAGTGGAAAAACGAGAGAATCATGAGTCTCTAAACTTTATGCTATACACAGGGTTGGTTGCAGGAGCAGGAGAAAGGGGGGTTAGTAAGTGACAAGATTAGATTTTAAGGTCCTTGGAACAGAGACCATCTTTTGGTTTTGTATTTGTACAACACACAAGGCAGTTCTGGTCTGTGACTGGAGTCCTGAGCCATTATCACAGTATACATCATTGCTTGCTGCCTGCCAGAACTAAGCCAACAGGTAGTGGACAGAGGTGATTTGGGAGGACATCTCTGAAAGAATTTCAATGGGGTGGCCATTCCCATACTCTCCCACAACATTGTTAATTGCCTTAAGACCTCAATCTGCCCCTGCTTGTGGGTTTCTGCTATTTGCTAATGCTGTATATTGTCTGCTTTCTAGTTTCATTTCCCCCACCCACCCTATTCAATAAAATTGTCCAATTTCAGGTTTAGTCTAAAATTTTCATTTGTGACAACAATCTGTTTGGAATTCCTAGCACACAGCATAGCTTTGATTTTTAGGCCATCACTTAGACCATAAAAACTCCCTACAAGTGGTTAAATAAGAATATTGAAGCTGAATGCTTACTTTATTTCTGAGAAGAGAATTTTTGTCATTGATATGTAACTGTAAAGTTTGCATCAGGGGGGAGCTTTGGAGCGGCAACAGTTACTAATTAGTGACCTATGTCAAATGTTCTGATATTTTACTTCCCTCTGATGAAATCTGAGTAGTGGGATCTTAGGACAACGTCAAGTTGTAACTAAAATAAGATTCTGGACAATAATTTTGTTTTAAAACGTTGCATTTGCAGGAGGGTTCATCTTTAAAGCTCCCCTTTTGCTCTGCCTAGCTTCAGCCATAACCACGTTAGCAGCAGCAGCACTGAGATGTGCGGGTAATCACTGCTGCTAAGTTTGACTGTAACATACATCATCACATGGCAGCGCCGGTGCTGCACCGGCTTTGTAAAGCAGAATCGCTCTGCCAACGCAGGCCTCCTTCCTGGCACTTGGTGGAAAAGGGGGAGGAGAGAACTTAATTTAAGGGTTAGGACTCTGCTCTGTTTTTCTTTTTCTGTCCCCTCCTTCCCTCGCCCTCCCCCCCCAGTTC